GATGGAGGGGGGGTGGGAGGGGGAGGGGGGGGGGTGGGGGGTGGGGGGGTAGGGGGGGGGGGGGCAGTCCTGAGGTGTAAAACAACCTGCAAACCTTCATGTGTGTGTGCTCGCTGTAGCGACCGCTGAAAGGAGCGGTTGATAAATTAATTCAGATTTAAATGACCGAGTCAAAGTGTCGTGGGTCACCAGCTGCCTCCTGGGGTTTCCTACAGAACCGACCCAATATATATATCTGAGCCGTCTCTGCTGGTACTGAACCTGATCTGGGTTCACTATTCAAGGGATGGAGAAAGTTCTGATGAAACCTCAGCTGAAACTGGTTTTACTGGAAGGTCTGGGCTTCACAGGCGTTGAAATCAAATGATTTGTTCAAACAAGTCATCCTTTAAAACAAACTAAAGTTGAGTAAATCATCACTTTAATAATTCCAAACTTTTGATTTGTTTTATTCTAAATAAAAGAAGAAACGGGCTGTCGGTGCAGGAGGTCATAAAAGCAGCTGAATCATCCACAAGATCCGGTTCGGTCGGTCTCAAACAGAACTTCTGAACCCAACTACTCACATGAAAGAAGGTTTGACTTTGACAGAATAAAGTCTTGACCCTGGAGAGTCTGCCCTGGTCGGAACATTCCTGCAGGCTGAACAGGTGAGCTCACCTGGACACTTATTAAAATAAAAATTCAAGCTGAAGTTAAAGAATAAAACTGAAAATATTCCAAGTATCCCAGCTGACAGGATGCTACGGAAGTTAGCCTGCTCTTGAAGTTAGAGCTAACACAACACTTTGTGATGATCATAACGCACTTAAAACAAAAACCCATGGTTCGGAACATTAACAGCTCACGAGTCCAAAAAGGTTCAGTCAAATAAAACGTGTTCAGTAAAAGTTGAGGCACTCTCCGTCCCGAGTCCCGGCAGGTAAACAAAGCTGGGAGCTAGCCGCTAACGTTAGCCGCTGAGACTCACAGTAATAAGACACGACCGGGTCCCGGTTCTCATGTTCCTGAGCGGTCCGGAGGTGGTGCTGGATGGGCCTGAGCTGGGCTGGAAGGGCCATGAGTGGTTACAGCTCCTCCAGGAGACACGAACTCTGTTCCTGCTACTACTTCTTCTGCTGCTGTTGTTACTGTTTCTTCTTCGTTGGTTTTTGTTGGCGGGTTAAAACTTGTTTCCGGTGCATTGCCGCCGCCAACTGGACTGGAGTGGACCTGTTCGGCTGGTTCGACTGAACTTTTCATTCAACCTTTATTTATACATTTATGTTATTATTGAATTTATATTGGATTATTGAGCATGCATCAGGATATTTATTTATGCAGGTTCATCCCATTGAGCTTCGGGGACTCAAACAAAAGTAACTTCACTGTAAAGTGTGGGTGATGTGTCTTCCAGCCGCTCAGTTAATGTGAAGTCTTGGAGAAAATAGTTTACAACCAGTTAACAAATCTTACTTAAAAGAGCACAAGCTTCTTGAACTGTTTCAATCTGGTTTTAAAACTCACCACAGTACTGAGTCAGCTCTGTTGAACGTCTTTAACGACATTCTTTCAGCCACAGACTCTGGTCACTGTGTAGTTTTGATGCTGCTGGACCTTCGACACGTGGACCATCAGATCCTCCCATCTCGTCTGGAGAACTGGGTGAGCATTCAGGGTCCTGCTCTACAGTGGCTTAGATCATATTTACGAGAGAGAAGCTTTTGTGCACATTTTGGATCTGTTGAGTCTGCTGCATGGCCTCTCACATGCGGAGTACCTCAGGGCTCTGTACCTGGCCCCTTTCTGTTTTCCCGTTATTTACTTTCCGGAAATATGGTGTTACTTTTCATTTTTATGCTGCCACCCAAATCTATGTTCCATTAAAACAAGATAAACAGTCCTCTGTGAACCAACTCCTGGAATGTATGTCAGAAGCCAGAGCATGGATGTCACAGAACTTTTTACATTTTAATGAGAAAAAGACCGAGGTCTTGTTGTTTAAGCTCAGTGATGGTTCTAAAGTCCATGTTGATCTGAGTCCTTTCACAAAACATCTGTCTGAGACAGCAGCCAACCTGGGTGTGAGGCTGGACAATGATTTTAAACTGGATGCTCAGATTAAATCTGTGATCAAGTCCAGTTTTTATCACCTGAGACAACTGACCAAGGTGAAACCATTTCTGTCACATCATTTCAAGATTTTAATCCAGGCTTTCATCACAACTGGTCTGGACTACTGTAATCCACTGTATGTGGGTCTGAGCCCGTCATTACTGACTCGACTTCAGCTGGTTCTGAATGATGCTGCTCGTATTAGAAAACGAGTTCACATCACAGTCTTCATTGGCTCCCAGTTCATTTCTGGATTAATTTGAAGGTTCTTTTATTTGTTTTCAAATGTCTTCATGGTCTCACAGGATGTCCAACCTGCTCCAGCCGTACGTTCCCTCGTGCTCTCTCAGGTCACCAGATCAGCTGCTGTTTGAAATGTGCTTTATAAATAAAGTTGATTTGACTTGTTTGTGGTTATTGCAGCGCAGCAGGACATTTCCACTGTTTCTGTTACTTTATGAGCAGTTCCTGTTGGATGTTTCTCCTGTTTTATATAAAAAGTGTTTAAACCTGAGAGGAGTGATTACATTTCTGCTCTTCTATTCCATCTTGTTGTCCGTCCTAACCCAGCATGTTTCTGAAGGCTGTTTAAGTGTCTTCCTGTTTCCTGTAAGTCACAGCGCTCCTGTCCTATCGGTCATGTATATTTCCTGATGAATGGTTTAATTTCTGATTTGCTCACTGGGACTTGTAGTTCTTTGGACTTTCTCTTGATTACTTGTTCTTCCAGAGTGTCTGCTATTCCATTTCCCTCCCCACTAACGTGTGCTGGAACCCAAAGGAACTGTACTTTTGTGCCTTACAATGTAATAAATGTTTCATTGACATCTGTTCTGATTGAAGAATTATCAGTTGAAATACTACAGAGTGCATAAAAATTTATAAAACAACATTTCTTATTTTATTTATTCAACCTTTGCTTATACAGATTAATCCCACTGAGCCTCGGGGATCCCCGCAGAGCCAACAATCGTGCCGTCAGTTGTGTTGAGTAAAGTGATAAAAGATCTGAGGCTCTTCTTGATGCAGATGTTCCAGGCTGGGATGGAAACTGCTGAACACTCCTCTGGATCCTTACAGCCATTGGTAAATAAGATCATAGCATCAGAGAAGTGTTCCTCTCAATGCGCCAGAGCAGTCAGAGCCATCAGTTGCTCTGATTTCTCATTTAGTTTCTGACGTAAACTTAAATTTACTTTATTTAATGAAAACCACCATGGAGGATAATGTAATTAAATTGACAATGTTTTCTGCTTTTGTTTCTCCAAACCTCATGAGGTTTGTTTCATTCAGTTCTCAGCAGTCTATTAAAATGTTTTTGGCTGGATGGTTTCCTTTCCATCGAAAGGAGCCAGGTGAGGTGCTTCATGTCCGACTGGGAGGAGACCCCAGGGAAGACCCAGGACATGCTGGAGAGACTACGTCCACCGGTTGGGCTGGGAATGCCTTGGGGTGGAGGATGGATAGAGGATGGATGGATGGATGATAGATGGATGGATCATGGATGGATGATGGATGGATGGATGGTAGATGGATGGATGGATGACGATGATGGATGATGGACTGATGGATGATGGATGGGTGATGGATGGATGAGGGATGATGATGGATGGATGATACATGAATGGATGGATGATGGATGGATGATACATGGATGATGGATGGATGATGGATGGATGATGATGGATGGATGATGGATGATACATGGATGGATGGATGATGGACTGATGGATGGATGATAGATGGATGTATGATGGATGGATGATGGACTGATGGATGGATGATGGATGTTACATGGATGGATGGATGATGGACTGATGGATGGATGATGGATGGATGGA